TCTATTTCCCTAACTGCAGTATTATGGCAGCTTGATGGACTCCCACGGTGATTTTCCTGCAAGATGGCTGCACATTTCCTGCATATTGACGCACCATTCATTCAGCAAGCTGTTAAACAGCTCTGTTAAGTTAACGCCTTTGTCTCTATTTGGGATAACTTCAATTAGAATTTGGCAGATCCCCATAAGATTACTTGGATTTAAATTCTGACAGCACGTACTCTTGTTTCTCACATGAGTTGCATCAGCGGGGATACAGTGGAGTTTAGGTTACAGTGCTTTGCTTAAGGACTCCTTGGCAGTGATGGTTTATATCTCTGATCTAATACAAGGCAGCTGACAAATGCTCCTGAAAAGGGAGCTTTCAAAGAAGCCGAGCCAATTTGTAGCAAAAAAGAAGAGACAACTGAATCTGGGCAGAGATGTCACTAAGTAAATCAAGATAGGAACACGGGAGGATTAGGCTGCAATAAAATGGCTGAAATGCATAATGACTTTGGGATGTCAACAAAAATGTCCTTTTTTTCTGGGGTCACTGAAAAAAACTTACCAGAAACAAGACCACTCAGAGAACGCGTGTTCCTCATGCAAATGGGTGTCTTGTGAAAAGAGATCCAGAACAACACAAAATGTGTCCCAAAGCAGAGCACAGCTTAAAAGAAAAGTGAATTTCTTGTCTTGTCAGAAACAAAAGTCAGGCTTAAGGCTTTACATTCATGCAAAACAAAGACATGTATTTTGGAAGCCACAACTTTAGTCTCTCGGAACCTGACTGGATCATATTTCCCACCATATGTAACAAAAGGGCTCTTCTCCTTTCCTCTCTCCTCCAGCCAGCCTCCAGGCAGCTCTACGAGGATGAAACCACCTCCTCAGTGTTTGGACTGAGGTCAGTGACTGACCCGTCTCCCTCCCCGTCCCCGTCCCCCTGCAGCTCAGATCGCCCCCTGCTGGCCTGGAGTAGTAACAACAGCAGCAGTAGCACTGCCACCTCTGCTACCACCGGACCGCCTGTTGCAGAAAAACCCCGTTGGCATCTGGGGAGACGTACACCGGCTCACTTCTTACCACTCGATATTACAGGTATGATACCAACTGTAAGCCAAAAACACTGAGAACAGGTTGGGGGTAACATATTTTTTGTACAGAGTATGCTTTTAAGTTTTTAATAGAACTTTTAAGACTGGAGCAGCTACAATACCAGGGTCTAACTGAGCCCTTATCATCAGAGGACATTGCTGTATATTAAATGGGTACATGTAAACAGACTCAGCTGACATCCAGCCTATGAAGTGGTGCAAAACCTTATATAGCCAAGCTGTCTTGTTGGTTTGATTTAAAAATAGTGTTCAAGCAATTACAGCAGTTGATTAATTGATTATAGAACAATAACCAACAAGATTTTGACAAATGATTGTTTGCATTATTTGTCAAGTAAAAAAAAAGGTAATCATGCTATAGTGGATAGCTCACACTGGACAATTTTTAGCCTCGGTAGCATTCTTGCTGCAGCGATAGCAGTGCTGGTTTTTTCACTGTTGTGGTCCAGACTGAAATATCTCAACAAATACTGGATGTGTTGCTATGAAAATTGTTACAGACATTCATGTAATCTACAGACTGAAATGTACTAACTTTAAAACTATTTTGGTTAGGGTTAAGGTAGATTTATGCTGCTGCAATGTTAGACAATTAAAAATGGGCCAGGGTTCAGATATCGGCTTGGTTATGTTAATGTAACAGTCATTTTAACTCAAATGAAAATGAAAGTTGAAGGGCATATATGCAGAAGCACCCACCAGGCTGTGCTCTTCATACTACTAGTTTGTTGAGTTTGGATAATTTAGAAAACCTTCTACTGCTGCAGTTGTTTTAAGTTACTTTAGATTAGAACATAAACTACATTTCTACAGTAAATATACAGTGATTGGATGACATAATTGCATTGGCTGTTCCCAGATGCAAGTTTACAGTGTTTGAAACTTCATATTGATTTGTTTTCTTGTGCTGTAAGAGAAGGATAAAATAATTGCCAAATCTCATCTTCTTCTTCCTCAAGAGATTCACACTAATGAAGCCATTTTCTAATGAGGGTGTACAGCAACAGTTTAGGGGAGCTTTTCCAGAAGCTGAGGCATCACTGGAATCAGTCATTTCCCAGATGAAAAGGACATATTCATATTTACAAGAGTGGTCCATAGCATGAACTGACCATGTAAAATAGGATGAGGTATCAATTTTTATATTAGACTCATTTAAGTTAATGTTATCAAAGCAACAAGAAACAAACAGTATTACATGCAAAAAATGTAACATTTTGTTATTTGCATAGAGGTTTCTTCATTGCATATTCATGTCAGAAGTCGTATATTACAGGTTACAGTGTAGACAGGCAAACACACACACACACACACACACACACACACACACACACACATTCTCACTCAACAGAAGTTTGAGATTTAAAGGAGAAAATGCAATAGAAACAAGACTGGACATTGAGAACATTTTCTTCTTATGATCGCATTCACTAATGCCCTCCCTCGTCTCTGGCAGTCAGTTTTGCTTGTGTGCATTGTATGTGTGTATGTGTGTGGTTGCTGTCAGAGCTGTTGGTATTCTGTGGTCATCCTCAGCCACATCGTTCTGACACTCCTGCCTGCACTCATCTCAGCCAAACCTTCTCCTTGTTTACTTTGCGTGCATGTGTGTGTCTGTGTGTGTGCCTTTACATGTGTGAATGTGCATGTGGTTGTGTGGTCCTCCTGGTTTTTGGCATAGCAACTGCTTCGTCAGTGGCTGCGTCTCCCCTCCTTCTCCTCTCCTCACGCATATCCATCTATAGTTAAATCTCTGTCTCTCTGTTTCACTTTACCTCTCTCACCCTCTTCTACTCCTCTACAGCACTGAGTAGAGGAGTAGAAGGTCAGGTATAATGATGCATCCCTGTGGCGTTGCACTTGGTGGGTATTCACTGCCATCAGAGAGGAAGAGATAGGAACAGAGAGATGAAGAATGAAAGGTGGGAGAGAGAGGTATTGTAGAGAGATAATAGTGTCAGTGTAGAGAGAGAGAGAGAGAGAGGAGTGCTTTGAGGATAAGACTGACGTTGTCCTATATTTTCCCCTATTGACATCAAATTCCTTGAGAAGACCCAAAGCAACGATGTGTTGGTTGGAGTCTTTCAACTCTTTCCAACTTCCCAAACTGCTCTCAGATCCAAGCCAAGGAGGTAACTTCTTAAATGTATCACAAACATTTAAATTTTTTAAAAATGCTTAATAATTTCTTACAACAGCTGGACATTACTGTTTAGCAAATGTTACCCCAAAACAGAAGTAAGAGGACATTTGCTAGGGACTATTTTCAGCTGTGGATGAATACACATTTAGTGTTGTAGTAAATTTGAAAATTATACAATATCACAAGACTTATTCATCTTACCATGACACCCAGTCTCTCATCCTTCTCAGTCTCTCTCTCCTGCATTCTCTCTAAACCAGTGAACAGATAGCTTGTAACCAGCTTGCTGTTGCCATGGTAACTTTCTGCTCTTCCTCTCTAAAAAAAGAAAAACAAAGCAGCTGTGAAGGAAAAGAGAGAAAGTGAATGTCACTGAAGCCAGAGAGGAAAAGAACAGTAAAGAGGATGAAGAGGAAGACCTCTTCCTCCTTTCCTCTGTCCGTCCGTCCCTGCTCATTCCATGCTGGCAATTTTTATGAATGACTGATACACTGTAGGCAGGCTAAGAGACAGTAATCAGACAGACAGGGTAAGAAATATATCATTCTGGATTTATGGTTTTTCAGAGGTTGATTTTTATCCCCTTGATTTTAATGTTTGTTTTTAAGAGCCACTGTTGATTTTTGTTGTAAATGTAAACCTGTGAACTACATACAGTAATTGCAGAAAGAAAAGGAAATTGCTCTTTTGGAAGAATTGTGTTACCCCTCCAGTAGAGTCCAGAGACTTACAGAATCAATGCCAAGGTGCACGTGGTGGTCCGGCACCTTAATAGGACACTTGTGTTAGTTGTTCCTTTCATTTGTCATCTATCTGTAGTTTAGAACATTAGTGATAATCTAGTCAGGAACTTGGATATTTGGCTTCGAAAATTAGTTTTATGCAGTTGTTAATGAAAAGTCTTAGATATCTCGGTTGAGAGGAGGGTTTTGATAAGACATAATAAGAGCATTTCAATTACTGTGTTTCATGGTGAAGTGTTTCCTAACAGCATACTGAAATATAGTCATTGAAATGCAGTTGGTTTATGGAACTTCAACAAACTTTTTCTGTAAAAATTTGCTTAGATTTCAATTTAACTTTCCGTTTAACTGGTCAACTGCTCACAATTTGAGTTTGGAGGAACCAAAATCTTAATTCAAGATTTTCTTACAAAAGGATTTCCATGCCTATCTTCCAGTGTGGTCACCTTATAAAGATAAATAATGCTCTTACTAACCACAGCTCAATCTAGGAAGCCCTTTGGATGAATAGTGAAATGTCTGCAAAACTCCAGCCCACTGATTTGGAATGAACTTTCTGGAGACTTCTTACCACGATTGAGAAGAAACAAACAAATCCCCATTGTAAAGTGTCAGTTTTATTTGATGCATTTGATGCATAATAAACCTTTGTTCTGGCACTGGTATAATCATCAGTTCAGTTTTATTTGATGCATTTGATGCATGGATTCATTGATTGTTTTGTACATGCACTTTTCCATCATTGTTCACTTACTGAGGTAAACAGAACTTAACTGAATGGCGTCACTTTGTTGCAGGAGATAAATTATGCCAGTAGGTTGCATCTGATATGGCTTTTATTTGAAACAAGACATGACTTTAAGAAGCCTGACTAAGTTATACAAATGGCTGAGAGACTGTGCTGCATGTCATGGAGGTAAAATAGGTACCTGCTGCTTCATACTGTATGACTCATTGGATTGCCTCTCTGCCAGGGGTGACCAATCCTGGTCCTTGAGGGCCGCTGCCCTGCTTGTTTTCCAACTATCCCTGCTCTACCCACTGCTGATTACATGGATCCGGTGTGTTCTGTCAATCAGAAGCTGGAAGATACCAAATCATTTTGTGTTTCCTCACTCCACCTTCATCTAAGATGATCTTTCCTTCCATTAGGTGAACTCCCTGTTCTTGTTCTTCTCTTCCAGGTGACGGAGGGGGAGGTAAATTCCACGGTGTCGACCTCCTCCAGCACTCCCCGTCCCCATCCCCCTCTCCAGGGGACCCCTTCCCCCACCAGCCACACTCCCTGGAGCCGGTCAGTGACACTCCCCACCAGAACCTCCCCCTGAGAAAGACACACTCTGATCTCGACACAACTTTACCTGCAGGTGTGTACAACCCTCATCTGGTGTTTGTTTGCTTTTTCCCCTCAACTATCTGGCCTTTAGCCAATGAGAGAATAGGTGGAGAAGAAAGGAAGAGAAATTTATTCTTGTCATTAACTATGGACAGATTGTCCACTGTTGCTTTGTGGGCATTGTTAGAAACCTTAAGCTTTTTCTGGAGATCATTTTGTACTTTGTGTTAGTGCTGTAAACACTTTCACCATTTCTTTAGATAACTTTAGAGAAGGCAGAAATGATCTATCAGTGAAGTTTGTATCTTTCAACTAGTTGTACAGAGGTAGAAAGATCATAGATTTCATTTCATTTTTAATAAATCATTCTTTTGAAGTTTTTTGTTGTTTTGTGTCAGTTCTCATAAATGTAGCTTGGATAGATTAAACTGGGTATGTTTACACTCATACTTGGCTTTAATCCTTAAAAGGGGTCATTATGGGGGGAAAACATATTAATTAATTCTCTTTCTGCTTTTCACCTACAGTACCATATTTTGAATTAAACAAAAAATAATAATATTTGCTTATACTAATCATCTCTTTTTTTGCTGTACCTGCAGCACTCTAGCTCAGTGAAGGACAGTGTTGCTGGCAACCAGGATCTTTCTTTATATGTAATTGGTTTATTCACTGCAACAGGGATTCTCAGTTGCAGGGTATGAAAGGTTCATGTAAACAGTTTAACCTGAATAAAGTCCTAATTGCAGAGAGGCAATAAAAAAACAGAACACCTAAAATGAACATCTGACATTTCAATTGATTTTGTGTTAAATTTGAAGATATACTTATTTCTCTAATTTGTATGACCTTTTCCAAATATTTCATTACCTTATTTTGAATAGTGAGTCAGTGCAGACAGGATAAAAACATTTTAAGTGTTGTTAAATTGAAAAATAGTATACAGTATAATCTAAGGTACATCAGAAGCTGTGAGCCCCCCTTACACTGTAAGCACAAAATCTATTAAATAATCTATATGGTTTAGTTCTAAAGAAAAAGCTGCATACTATAGACATGGGCAGTAACCACCACCCACAGCCAAGCTAGTGGCTTTGTGAGGGTATATTTTTTAAGTGTTGTGTCTCAGGAGCTGGGGAATTTATGTTGAGGTTTCATTATTTAATGTCTGTCATTTGAATTTGTTATGATAAGTTTAGTTTTATTTTATTAATACTAGTTTTTTCCCCCTCTCCTAGGTAGCACATCGGAGCAGCGTGCCTCAGATCAACTTCACCCAGGCGCTATGGACCACTCTGGGCTGCTGTGCTCAAACACACCCTCTGCTTCTTGGAATGGACCTAAAGGATCCACCTTTTCTCCTGGAGCATGGAATGAGTCTTACAATTATAACATGAACAAAGGTCCAGCAGTTCCACCCAAACAGCACAGCATCATTGGTAATACAGGAGGAGTGACACAGGATGGGGTGATGCTGGTGAGCTCCGGACACTCGATGAGCTCACATTCCAGTTCGTTCATGTCTGTGACAGACTCTTCAGGGAGAGTAGGAAGTAATATGCCAGCGATTCCACCAGCAGTGGCAATGATGGGGAAGTGGAGCGAGACAGAAGGGGCTGCAGCAGATGGAGGGAGAGGAGGAGGAGGAGGGGGGAGAGTTGGTGAGCCAGGGAGAGGGAGGGAGCGGTCGGCACGTTCCATAGCAGCACAGAACGCCTTCAAGTTCCGAGAGCGTTCCCTTTCTACACCCACAGATTCTGGTTCCTTCTGCTTCACAGAAGGTATTATAGGCCAGCCAGATGGAAAGATGTCTACAGGGAATGGGAACGCTATGTCAGTAAGAGACCACCTACAGCAGCCTCACAACTTCCTTGGTTTGGGTGAGAACTATGCCCTCCTCTACCCCAGAGGGAGCTCTGAAGACAGCACCAGTACTACAGATACAATCTCTGTGACAGCTTCGGACTACAGCGCTGAGAGTCGCTTACGTCTACGATCCCGCTCCATCTCACTTAAGAAATCTAAGCACAAGCCACCACCTCCTGTGAGGAGCGTCTCTCTTATGAAGAATCTCGGAGAAGCCAAGGGGAGAATCCGCCATGAAGGTGGTCTTTACCGAGATGGCCGGCCAAAGAGCCTGCACATTCCCAGGGACCACTTCCCAGACTTTCAGCCTGATTTTCTCCTGCCCACCTCATCCAGCTCCTCCAAGCCCATTGTTGGTGAGAGGGAGCTGGGCCATGGAGGCAGTGACGGACCTCCAAGCCTGGAGATTCAGGCACCAGACAGGGAGGGAGAGACAGAGCTGACCTTCCCCACTCAATGGCAGCTGGGGGAGTGGAAGAATGATCCCTACAGGTAGAAAATAAAACCCCACTTTATATTAGCAGTTTATTTGTTCTAGCCAAACAAAGTCTGACTACCTACCATTGCTACTGATGCTTATTAAGTGTGATTGAGGTTTGTTGGATAAAGACTAGAAATGCATTCATTTCTCCTCTTTTTTCTTCTCTTCTCTTCTTCAGGTCTCTATCAGGCTCCAGCACAGCAACAGGTACCACAGTGATTGAATGTATGAAAGTCAGAGGCAGCTCAGAGTCTCTTCTTGACTCTCCCTCCACCTCCAGAGCCACCTCACCCTCACAGTTCTCCACGGAAATTGACGTTAAGGCATCCTCACCCTTCAAACCCCCTGGACTTATGTCCCCATCAAGTGGTTATTCCAGCCAGTCAGAGACTCCCACTCCAACTGTTCCACTCAGTCAAGTGTCAGGTCATGGGACAGTAGGGATGGCTGGGACATCAGGATGTAAAATGCGCCCAAAGATCCCAGAGAGGAAATCATCACTACCATCAACCAAGGACCCAGCTGCAAGGTCTAGATTGTCCTTTGAGATGCCTGGGAATGCACATCTGGAGCTGTCATTAATCAAGCCAAAGCAAAAGGCTAGCCGGCGGCATTCTGACACTTCGACAGCAGCAAAACCTGGAAAAATCAGCCCCAATTCTACACAGGCATTGCCTGTGGTTACCCAGAGCGAGCTGAAAACTGTTCGGCTTCGCTCTGTTTCTCGTGGTGATCTGGAGGACTACCCTGATGGGGCGTCTGACACCATCGAAGAAGAACAGCATGGCCGAGACCTAGGCGAGGATCCCAGTCCTCCACCTACTCTACCAAAACCAAAACCACCTGTTGCTGTCAAGCCCCCCTTGCCCAAGCGACCCATAAACCTCCTCCTAAAGTCTCCCTCACCCTCCTCCACTTCCCCCCTTGCCCTTGACTCACCTCCTGCCTCACCTGTGGACCGGCCTGTGCCTCTGGGTAACATCTACAAAGTCATGAAAAAACCCAAACCCAAAAAGCCTCCACCCCAAACTGCAACAAGTCCTTCCATTCTCCCAGACTCAAATTCCTCCACCACCCCACAAACTGCCTATGATCATCCCTTTCTACCCCACTCCCAGCCCTTCTTTGATCTCCCCCCTCTCCCAGACCCCCAGCCTCTTCTGGAGGACCCAACTTTGGAGCCTGAATTTGATACTGACCCAGACATCCATCTTGGCCCTGAGGATGGAGGCTCACTCCCTTCTCCCTGCAGTAACCAGGAGGCCCCAGAGCTGCAGGGGAAGAGCAAGACCCTCCCCTCAAGGATGACAATCTCCTGTTTGGCAGACCTGTCGGACAAAAAGAAACCCAAGGTACGGACGCCATCTCTCAGAAAATGCTTTATTTTAGGGGTGTCACTGTCCATAGTTTATGGAAGTAGAGACTGCCAATGCTAGTGATTTACTCCTGTCTCTAAATTATTACTGTACTGAATTGATGTTTAAAACTCTCTCATTCATTCCAGATTCCACCTCCAGTCCCCAAGAAGCCAAATGTCCTGTTTTTTCCCACGTCGGTCCACTCCTCTACTAATGGCAGCACAGATCGGCAGACGCCGCAGACCGACACCCCTGTGGGCCTTCAATGTGCCATAGAAGCATTTCCACCAGAGGATATTCCCAGTGATCCTAGTGTTCCAGATATGCCAGAGCTAGATGACCAACACTTGGGAACAGATGAGGAGAGTTCAAAAGAGTCTTCACTTCAGTCATCTTTACAAGATTCCTCCCTCACTGAGCTTGAAGGGAAGATGGCCAGTACTGGGATCGGGGCAGGTGAGTTTATGTAGAAGGTTTTGGTTACTGGGATAACATTGTATTTGGAAATCAAATATCATCCTTCGTCTACATCATATATGATTCACCATGTAGACTATTTTAACCAATGCTCCCTGCTCTGGTTCTATCACAGCAGTATTAATTTCATTAACAAAAGCTATGGCGAAAAAGATTCATTGATGACCCATTTTTCAGCATGAAAATGAAACTAAAACTAAATTAAAAAGTAACATTTGATAACGAGAACTATGATGAAATGTGAAGTGTCACATAAGCTTTTACGACATGGCCACATTGTGACAGGTCAATGTGAGTGGCTTCATTTACATTTCCAGTCCTTGTGTTTCCATTCTGTTTTGGTGAGCCATGCTGCAGACGTAGCCTACTCTATATTAGCACCAATTTCTACCACCAATGTGTCAGCATGGATAGATAAAAGCACCATATAACATTCAGTAGCCTAACTAACAAAACTGCATGGTGTGTCATTATGGTTCCTTAACTGTGGTCCCAATTGGAGAGTGAATATCAGTGAATGCTCATACTAACATGGTAAACAAAAGTCTTCTTCCTGTGGCTGTCCACGTTCTGACTGTCCCTCATATGTGATTGGTCGGCCCTGCATCTTGCCAGATTATGTCACCATCTGGTGCAGGAAAAGTTAAGCCTCATAGAAATGAATGGAGAGGGCTGCATTTTTTCACACCTTTGAAACTCAGTCAGAACTAGGGCTTAGAGAATCAAAACGACCATAGAAAGTCAAACCATTCAAATGCTCTGCTGCAGTTTCCTATTTTTTGAGCACTAGTGACACTGGGGAGCATTCCTAAAACATTTGCTAACACAAACAGTTAGCTAATAAATGTTGTTTGATCTTAGTCATGTTTTGACAGAAGCTGTGGAACTCCTTACCTTTTTGTTATAATTTTATATGGAAGTGCTGCTACAGTTGATTAGGATCCTTTCCTGCTGTGATCAATGCATAACCTGATTCTGGCAGAAGAGATTTCCCAGGTTTTAAAGCAAATGAAGTCCAATTGCTCCAGATTTCCTAATCAAAACAAAATGGTTCTTACTGTTTGTAACAGTGAAGATGACATTAATCATCATCATCTACTTATTACTTTATTCTGGATGTAATTGAGTCGGATTTACTATTATTGTAAGGGCTGTACTTGGACTTGATAAAATAAGACAACAGAAATGTACAATTCCTGGGTGATGTGTTTGGCAGCATACTGCAGGCAATCATTATATGCAATTTACAAAAAAACACAAATACAACATATTATGTTTTAATATGATTTTTCTGTCTTGTTCAGATGACTTAGCAGCCAGTGAGATGACAGTACTCCACATTGCTGAGGAAACAGATGACGACTTGGTGGCCAGCACACCTACAACACACACCACCGAAGACTTGTTCACTATTATACACAGGTGAACTTGCACACACATACTGTATATCCAATGCACATTTCAGACATAACACTATGGTAATTACAGAAAATGATATTGAAACGCGTCTTTCCTTAAAAGGATGTTGTAAAGCTATAAAAGTACATTATGACCTCATCTTGCCTCATCTGTTTTGACAGTACAAACATATTCTCAGCACAAATGGTCTCAGCCAGCACAGAGGGTGAGAGTTCATCATAACTCAGCGTATGCAATGAAAGATGCTTTGTCTTGCTGAAAAGGTGTTAGGCGGATGAAATAGCAGTGTACAGTGTGTTACTGCATAACCAGAAGATCTTTTTTTGTCCTTTTTTCAGAATGTCTCTCTCTCTCTCACACACACACACACACACACACACACACACACACACACACACACACATACACACATATGGATGCAAGCACACAAAGAGAATCACAGGAAACCTAGTCTCTAAGCAACAAGTGTTCACTATTTTATCTTGAATAATAGTGAAAATAGCTTGAAAGGTAGAGAACAAAGGGTGGGTGAGGGGGAGAGAAAGAAGAACAGGAGACAATACTTTGATTTCTTACAAGAAAGGATGGGGTCCTTTCTGGAGTTAGTTTTAGTTGTTTTATTCTCTGCAAGAACAAGGAATATACTCCCAAATGTGAATAAGGGAGAACTGAAATGTGGTTCCATATATTCCCAATTTCCACCTTTGTCATTTGTAATTACTTCTCTCCTCTTCTTTCTTTCCTTTTCAACCAGGTCCAAACGGAAGGTTCTGGGTCGAAAGGAGCCGTCAGACTCCTTTGGCAGCCGGCAGAGTCTTGTGTCCCCGGTGAAACACAACACTAGTGGTAGTGACTTCCGAAACCTGACCTTAGGCAGCAGTCAGAGGTCGATCTCCCGAAATGAGAACTTCATGGCCCTGCTTCAAAAAAAAGGCAGTAAGTCTTCCAGCGGAGGGGCCAGAGTCTCCGCTATGGAGCTTCTCAAAAGCACAAACCCTCTGGCGCGACGGGTCACAGAATTTTCAACCAACATGTCGATGACTGCTGAGGGAGGAGAGGCAGCATCCGGTGATGACAAATCCAGTGATCAATAAACAGTAGTATCATTAGCACACGTTAATTTATCCAGGCTCGTTTGCTGTTGACAAAGCTACCAAACAATTCTACAGTGTCCTACCCACTGCACACAGGGCCTTCTGGTTAACATGACGAACTAAGCCGCTCCAACTACTGATTGACCGTTTGCCCTGCCCAGTCAAATTGGAGCACAGTTTTGGACCAAACAGTTGGAGCTCTCCACTTCGCTGTCAAATCTGAAGAGCGCAAAATTTGTTCTCACTGTATTTTCTCTATGAAATGTGGGGGTCAAGCTTCAACACAGCACTTTGCTTTCTTCATTGGGAATGTCTTTATTGTGGAGGCTAGATGGATTATGGCATTGGTAGAGCAGATGCTGGGAATATGCAGATATACATCGGATACCTTTACTCCTGGCTCCTTCTTGATGATGACAGCACCAGTTAATATATCTCTAACCAGTTATGCTATTTTGCTGGGATAGCACAGAGGATCAACAATCAAATTAAAGAAATAAATGGATACAGAAGATACAAATGATTCATCTACAAATTAACTGAAACCATCCAGCATTGCAGCACCAACACCTGTAGGCCGATATGAACTGAAGGATAAATTATTAAAAGTATACCTGAAGCAAATATGTCGAAAACCTTGGACATTGTAGCTCTGCCTTCTCTCGGTGGTAAATGCGATACCGGAGCAGGAATCACCCCTGTTGTTTTTATTAGACACAATATTCAGCCTGGAGCAGATTTAAACACCACTGGGGCTTTTTGCCACCAAAGATAATGAGCCTGTCACAGTTTTTTGTTGCTCATTTTATGAAAGTGAAAGTGGACCTTCACAAAACATTCCACAGAGGCACTTGGCAAACGAACAGCATTTTGGAACACAAGCACTTTTCTTTTTCTTTAGTGTCAGAGGCCATTTACATGGAGCAGCCTTTGTGTTGCTACGCTTTCCCCTTAAGACTCATCAATCATTATTTTTTCAGTTTTTGTGTAGATTATTTTTTGTTTGCTTATATTTTTTTTAATATGACCATAGACTGTACATGATTAATTGGACTGTACTATATGTATCATGTACAAAGATAAATGTTACGCATCTATCAACAAATATCATTTGCAGATACAAAGACTAAAAATAGTGTACAGGACAGCAAACAGTTTGGATTACAAACTGCCCACACCATGGAGGGAAAACACACACTCCCAACACACAGACTAAAGAGTAATGGCATGGAAGTCCAACAGAACAGACCTATCTACACAAGTATGTGTGTCCATGTAAGTGTGTGCACAGATGAATTCATGCCTGTGGAGTTTCTGTACAGAGAGTATGAAGCAGGCCTGGTTATTAAACAGGGTTTTTATTCATTCTGGTCTCTGGTGACAGGACCAAAGGACTGTTAAAAGCTACAAACGGACCAGAGGGGACCGAGTGGTGCATATGTGCTTGTTTGTGTGTGTGTCTATTCACATGTGTGTTTAGAGGGAAGTGCCAAGAACAAAGTGAGAGAAAGAGACAGAATGGCCATTCTCATGCCTATTTGTGTGTTTGCCATTTTTTGTGTGCATATTCAGACTTGCACATACAGTATTGAGTGTGGGAATGTGTGTGCATCATTACCCAGCACCTTTCGTGGGATAGCATTGACATGAGAAAACTTCCTCTTCTCCCTTATGTTATAAAACTATAATAATTCCAGAAACACAAAGGGACTCCAGAAAAAAAAATCTAATTTCAGAATCAGGAGGATTTGGGAATCAAATGCAAGCTGTGTCTCAATTCAGACTCTTTGAAGGATGTGGTCTATGAAGCCATGGTCGAACCATGGGCCGAACCTAAATGAGACAGTCTGGTCTACAGAGGATTCCCTATTTATGTTACCAGCTGTTCCCACAATCACTGTTGTGTTACAAGTCCCGCTCCTGTCAACTAGTAAACTTGACAGCTGCTCTGCACTCTGCCACTCTTGGGATAGGGTGGGCTGAAAAGGATCCACCAGTTGGAGCCTTCGTTGCCCAGGGAAGAAGGATGTATTTCTCAACTGCATTTGAAGGAGCCTTTGAAATGGGACGGCCTTGTTGCAACACTGCAGTGCCATCGGTCTTCACATGGAGCATTTCAAGGATGGGTTCCATGAACTGGGACACAGCTACAGAAGCAAAAGCACTGCAAAACCTGAAGGATTCTGGAATGGTTGGCAGAGTTTGGAATTCCGGTCTTGTGTCAAGTTCTGTTCCCCTCACTGAGATGTGCTTCCCTCTGTTAAAACTGTTTCTACTAGCGCCTCCTCTGTGTTTATGGTTAGGATAAGGTTAGGGTTCAGGTTGGGGGAAACTCATCTTGAATGGGGAACAGATCGCTGGGACACAACACTGGAATGATGGAGTCATGATTAGCCACCACAGCTCTACTTGGGAGGCTATGGCTGCAGAGTTGCACAGTGACATAATGGGGCCCAGTAGTTTCTCTTTGTTTTGCCCTCCTCCATGCTGTCTCTTTCGTCTCAGACTAGAGGAGGTGGTCTGTGGCACTCTCCTCCCACTCATCACTGCTGGATCACATACTCCGTCTGTGTCTCCGCATATAGCATCATCTCTCTTTTTCCTGTAACCTCTCTTCTGGCATATAGCATATGCTCTCGTTCTCGCTCTTCCCTTATATATTGCAACCTCTTTCTCTCTCTCTGCTTTTGCATAGCACAACCTCTCTGTCCCTTCCTCTCATTCTCTAACTTCTTGCCCTTCCTCTTTTAACCTTCCTACCATCTTCTCTTCTCTCCCTGACCATCCCTTGCTTTCTGTTAACCATCCCCTGTTTTTCCCAGCTCTTTTTTCTCTCACCCCCTCTCCACATCTCTCTGCATTCAGTCTATGCATCTGAGCTCAGAAGACGACGTGACACCGAATGAATGTCAATGAATGACTGTTAAGAAAATAGATGCTGTGCTTAGTTTGAAAGTGTGAAAACATCTTTCTATCAATGTCTATATTCTGCCTTCTCTCTCTTTTGCTCTGAGTTTTTATACTTTTTTCTGTACCTTCCCTTTGAGTATCCATGTCACATGGAATTAACATAGATGAGTGAATGTTGAATGACTAAATGGATAAGATCTGTGCACAAACACAGAATCAGGCAGGATTTGAATGGGGTTTTGCTTAAAGGACCTTTTGGACTGAGAATGAAACACCCTGTGGTCTTTGACACTAGACTGACCCGAAGTTCTGGGTCTGTGTGGATGGACTGATAATTCTGGATTAGCAGTGGTTCAGCTCTAACACCTGACTTATCCCCCTGCATGGATGGGCCATGCAGAGGGAGGAGGCTCCAACTCAGCATCTCCTGGCTCCAACTCAGCAAACTATTCCTAGGTGCTATTGAGTCAGAGCTCTCCCTAGTGGAGGAATCACACAAAACAAGAGTGAAAAAACATACACCTCTCTTTCCTACAACAGTCCTTCAGGTATTTCATTATCCTGAAAAAAGTGAAGATTTTAAAAATGCATAAATTATCACCATTTATGACTAGTCAAGTGACGCTTGTTTTAAATATTTAGTGAATGAAATAAAACTCTGTGTTTGTTTGCCTTGTATACTGAATTATGGGCGTGTTGCTGCACCGCCTACTGTTTTTTAATTTTATTTTTATTGTTATTTCAGCTGCCTTGGTAGCACACACACACACACACACACAGAAGCACTTGTACTTCTATCTTTGTGAGGACACTCATTGGCATAATCAATTTCCATCCCTTTACCCTAACACTTAACCATCACAACTGCCTAACCCTTATCCTAACATCTAACCTAAAACCAAGTCTTAACCCTCAAAAAGGTGTTTCATAAAGTGAGGACTAGCCAAAATGCCCTCACTTTCCAAAAATGTCCTCACTCTGTATAGAAAAAAACCATATTATCCTCATTATGTAGCAAGTACAAGAACACACACACACACACACACCAACACGACCTTTGCTAAGTCAGCCAAAATAACAGTAAAAGGTATAAAGGGGAAATTTTGTTTCATTTGAATCAGACCTGCAAGGAAGAGTTTAGAAATCTGGTGTTATCAGTGATGCATCAAGTAACTAAGGTATTTAGTAAAGAAATTGTTTCCCAAATCTGCATCCATACGCAGAGTATGTTGTGATAGTTTTTTCCTCGAAGCAATCATATTTCTGAGATCAGATAGGTGAAGATGGAAAGTATGAAAGGGAAGAAGACAGAGGCACTACAAGACAAATCATGTCCAAACTATATCCACAGATCTGTATATACAAGGAGAGAGTGGGAGCAGAGTAGAAATAAAGTGCTGGGAGTGAAAGGATGTGTTGTTTCAGCACAATAATGACAAATAGTTTCTTGGTTAAACTGAAATATGGTTTGCAGACAAGACAGGCGTGATGAAAAGCCTGGGTTGTCAGAAAGGGTGTTTCACTTTCGGTTTGTGTTCAATGGGAACCGCAAATCGCTGTTTTGTGTGTTCCTGTGAGGATGCATGGCAGAAATCTTGGCACATTTGGTTAGACTTTCTTTAACAGGTCAGTGAGGAGAGGTTCAAACAGTCAAAGAAACATATGGGTACAATAGAAGGGTGCTATGCCAATATTTATTTTTTGCAGTTTTTACAAATATTTCTTAGACACTGAGCAACTTCAGAGGCAGACATAGTGTAATCTCATTCATTGGATAATCAGTGGGCACAGCCATAGATCCAACCTGTCAGATTTTAGTTCTTTTGTAGGACACCTGATAACAGTTACTAACAATGGGAGCAATATGTAATCTCTCATTATTTTTGCATTTCCCTTGCATAGCATGGGAAATGCCGGTTCCTTAGCTCCACCCATTCAGGCTTTAACAACCAGCAAGACTATTTCTTCCAACAGAGCAGCTCTGGCTTTAAGAAATTTTTGTAAAATAATTTTCCAATATCTAAAACATGTGGACAATTTATTATGTTGAAAATGGCATTTCTGCAAAGTGTGAAAAGGGAGCTGTCAAGTGGCATATACTAAACATTTAATCCATTATCTCTTATTTCGGAGGACAAGGAGGGAAGAGAGAAAGGAGGGAGAATGAGTGTGTGGAGCAGAGGTTTGATTCTGATGGATGTGGGGATTATTACGTTGAAATTTATACATATCCCGTCATCTCTCCCTTCTTCTCAGCTTGTAACTCAATAGTGTAATCATGTTAAAAGCTTTAACTGCTCTCTCACTCACTCTTTTGCTTCCTTACTAAGCGATTAAAGGTGTATGAGGAAAGCAAGAAAGGCTACTGCGCTGTAATTGCTCATTAATTAATTTAGTTAATTTGACATTTTGTCTCTGGAGATATAGGGCAGCCAAAATACAACCTAGAGCTAAGAGACACAAATGGTTAAGTTGGAGAGTTGGCAAGGATTGTTTACTCTAAAGTCAACAGAATGATCACAGTTTATCTGAATAAGCTAAGTTTGTGTGAACTGTGTTTACAGTAATTTGTAGGGTTTAATGAATACTTACTAAAATGAGACCAAGTCTCAGAGTAGCATAAACAAATCGAACACCATCTCAAACTCAAAACTTCACAACCAAGTCGACCGCAAGTCATCCAAGGATTTGCAAATGTCTTAAAAATATAATTGGTTAATGACAAAAACAATGACTAGTGAAGTCAAAACTATTATTTTACCACTTTGTAGAAAAATCTACCGTAACAGGCTTGTGCCTGTTGTGCCTTTAAGATAAATGCAATGGTTTACAATGAGTAAACCCTTCTGACCTGAGCCTGAGAATATATATAAACCTGAAACTGCACTTTTAAGAAGTTTGTGTTATCTTTAACACATTTACGTTTCCTTTGTAACACATACATTTGACGCACTATTCAACACAACTACCTGCATGTTGTGAATTATGTTTAATCCCATGCAAGGGGATGAAACATGCTCAGGAGAGGCTCTTTGGGTTATCTCACTGAGCTTCACTGAGTTTTAGTGAGCTCTGGTAAATATCTCCAAATTTGTGTAAATTATAAATCATGCATAATTACTGAGGACTTTGCTACATTCTATGGTGAACTGCACCATAAAATTAGCTGAAATTTGCTTTTTTTTTTAAGTGCAGTCCTAGGTTTTACTTCAGTTACTGTAGGGTTGCACTGATCAATAACTTTTTAAGTGTGGTCCAGCTTTATGAGTGAGTGAAAGAGCGTGACAAAGCAACAGAGAAGATTTGGGCCAAAGACTGGGTGGGGTTTACTGTGTTTGGACATTTCATGTTTTGTTGTTGTTGTTTGTTTGTTTGTTTGTTTCAGAGTAGGCGTGCTGCCCATCATGAAAACTGATGTCCTTTGATAGTAAACACCCCCCTGTTACCAAGCAAAGTAATCCCCCCCCCCCGAGCTACTAATTCCACTAGGCTGTACAGATAGCTTATAAAGATGCAGTTGATAATAATTAGAGAAAGAGAGACAGACAGAGTTATTGGAATGATTCTATTTTTGTTATTCCTCATTGAAAAAGACATATTTAAAGGAATATTCTGTGTATGTTTTGAATAATCTGTTTCCCTGCCCTATCCAATGATGTAATCTGTAGCTGCGAGGTGGCGTCACACACAAATGCTTCCCTCTGCAGCTATGCAATGCCAGTGTGATGAAATTATCATATATCATTATAAATAAATTATTTTTCTTGCTAAAAATGTTTTGTTTGTTTGCTTTCCCATTGTTTGTGTGCTGTATTTGCTGTCTGCCCTACGTGTCTTCAAGGTTACTTTCTGAATCAATATTAATGGGTTTCCCCGGAGAGGAAACAACACTTCTGTTAATTGGGTGTTTCTGCCATGTGAAGCACGACACAGTAACTAAAACCTCTTGAACCAAAGTTTAACAGTTTCTTACACATTTCAATAATGAATGTTCACGTAGCAGAAACGGGTAGAATTAGAAATTCAATTGGTGTTCCTACGTGACAGGTAACAGGCCCTTATCATTTCAGCTTATAGTGGGGTACAGGAAAAAATACCTATTATTACATTTCTTCAAATTCCCCTGGATCTGGGGCCTCCGAGTATGTTTCCACTAGTTGCCAAACCAGCCTTATACCCTGTTCCTTCAGGGGTCAAGGGGTCAAGGACTGATTGGACTGATGATCCATATGTACAGTAAAATGTCTCAGGAGTTCTGGTTAATGGAGTTTAATTAGTGCAAGTTTTACGATTGTTGCAGCCTTGGCAGTTCAAACTTTTGAGTAGCCTTATTAAAAAGTTTACTTCATGAATAAAACATGAGGCTGAAGTTAGCTTGATATTGATCTTTTATTGAAACTACATTGATAAATGCATTTACTTTTAACGTAATTTTAAAAGAGAAAGCTATTTACATCCATGTACAACCTAGAGCGACACCAAAGGGCAAAACACTCTTATAATGCTTCTTGAATATGCTAAACATCAAGAGCAATAGCGTATAAAGTGGTTCTGCAAGATATGTGGATTAAATGTTTCTTTAACCAGTGAATCCAAGTCAGTGCAGCGTATTGTTTTCATTTACAGCATCAATTAGCATGTACCACGTACAACCTAGAGCGACACCAAAAGGCAAAACACTCTTATAATGGTCCTTGAATATGCTAAACACCAAGAGCAATAGCGTATAAAGTGGTTCTGCAAGATATGTGGATTAAATGTTTCTTTAACCAGTGAATCCAAGTCAGTGCAGCGTATTGTTTTCATTTACAGCATCAATTAGCATGTAGCCTCCCAGCCCAGGGGGAGTCTTAAGTTGGATCTGTGTTTCCATGAAGAATGTGCATGTTGTTGTAGCTCCAGGAAAGATGGTTGTTTTCATAATAATCTGCAGTCACCTCTGAGATGCAGAAACTGAGCGTAACTACCCGCACTAGTCTCTTTAGGCTATGTCTCTTTGTGTGTGTGCCTGGTATTACTGTGGGTTCTCTGTCTTCCTCATGGGGAGCAGATGCTGATCTCCACCATGTAAATGACTGGATTTTAGGGGGATGACTTGGTTTAAGGTTAGGGTCAGGTTAAGTTTAGGTTAAGGATCAGGGTTTGGCAAGTAGTCATTAAGGTAAGGGACATTTTGTTTGGGGTTATGGGATGGGGAGTGCATTATGTCACTCAGTGTCTTCACAAGTATAATGCTATGTCTACAACCATGAAGGCTGCTTCTGCTTCATGTTTCAGCTCCATAATGGTATCTTCTGAAGTAACTGTTCACTCATTGTTCTTTCACTATTTTCTTGTTGGGCTCTAGAGCCACCTAGTGGGTATTTATTGTCAGTGCATATGTCTGTCAAAAGGAAATGCACAAATAAAATGAGAAATTTTACATAACTGTTACTCATTAATCAGCTGACAGACATTAACCCTGAGTAAAGCCGATTCATTGTTGGCTTTAATCTCTGTATGGGGAGTGTTGAAAATACTGTTGACATAGAAAATGACCAGCCTTATCCTTTAACATCAAGTTTTCATTGCTTTTGATTAACCTAGAAAATTTGTATGTTTTGTTTAAACTAAGCAGTAATTTTCTAGATTAATTTTCAACACATAATTAAATATAATTTCTTAATCTTTAAACAGAGCAAGCTGAATAAAATGCTTCAGGTTAAAACGCCTGAGTGATATTCTGTCTGTCCACCTCTCTTTCTCTTTCTACACACACACACACACACACACACACACACACAATGGTTGGTTCTCTCATCAGGTCAGAACTACCAAGCTCCACTCTTCCTGTTTCTGACAGCGGCGAACCCAGCACGCTATCTATGACACACAAACACATGGCGGTGGACGTGGCTAGCACAGGAAGAACTGAGAGAAATCTGCAATCAGCAGAGAGAGACAGAAAGACAGCAAGGGCAAGATGAGAAAATGAGTCTTCCTGCTGTTGATGGTGCTTTTGTAATTAAAACATGTTGCTCAATTCATATTTAGAAAAACATTGAGATGATAGGTGAAGAAAAAAACTGGACAGAAGAAAACAAAAGGATCAGTTTCACAAAGCGAAGGAGGGGAAAAAGGAGGTTTTAGGGAAAAACTGAGAGGAATAGAGCCAAAATAGAAAAAAGGGAGGGATGAAAGAGTGAAGTCAAGGAAGGGGAGGAGGAAGAGGGTGAGAACAGAGGGCGGGGGAATAATGTCAAGTGCAGTAGAGCAGAGAAAAAGCAGCAGAAGGAAGAGAATGAATCAGAAAAGGAGAATGTTTCTAACACTGTGGATTTCTTAAACAACTTGCTCCAATATCTGAAGTACCTGTGTGGAGGGGCTACACACACTAACACACACACAGTCCTGATTAATGCTCCTGCTTGATGGACTGACTGTTCACATCCACGCTTCCAGCTGGACATCAAGCTGTGCAAATGGACATGCATTTCTACTATTTGGTGGGTAACACATGGCCCTGCATGTGTGTGTGTTTATGTCTCTGCATGTGCATGTTTTTAAGGGTTTCTTGTTGCTGTGCAACCACATGTCTCTTATTTTATGTGCAATTTACTGACATGCTGCAAATGTGTCTGTGAAGTAAGGATGCCATAGTGAAAAATGATGAGCTGTTTGCTACTAAAACTGGTGGATATTTGTTCTTTTTATAGTGAAAAGCTTCTTCACCTTTTAGATCGACTTCATCCATGACAAAATGTAAATTGAATGTTTAAAGACAGATAAAACTGGAGAACAAAGATCATAACAATAATTGCTTATCACTTCATTGTGCTCTGTAGTTCATTGATCGTCCATGCTTTTACTGCACCATCATTAAACTCAGCTAGACTTATTTGGCAACAATCCAAAATTAGCGCAATAAATAAATCTACAACTTTGATGCTACACACATAAAATTATAAAGCCAAATGACTTGTCATTTGGCCTGTAGATATTGTAAATGTAGATATTGTAAATGCCCTTTGAATTTAAAACTGAGGCACCATCTCTGTTAGATTAATAGTTGTGGTATGAAAACAATCCTCATCCAGTGGCAGAAGCCAAACAATCCATTTATTTGCGTCTTGGTTCAAACGTTTTATACTCTAAAATACAATATTTGCCTTTGTGTGTTTAATAAATTCTGATTACGGATGAGAAAAATTAGGCTGACTTCCACTTAACAAGTACTAAGAAAGAAATGTGGTGAGTGTTCATCTGAAACTACAGTGAAAGAACACAATGTGAGTAATGGCTCAGTCTAATTTGATAAGGTCATCTTATTATGAAACATCTTGATATTAAGGTCTGTAACTGATCCACTGGAAATTTTCACAACAGGTACTAAATGTTAAATAGTAATGACAACATTCATTTAAAAGGTAAACACAATTAGCGACCCCGAATCACGTGATTCTGTTGTTCAGCATCCAGCACGTGATTGGCTGAGAAAACGATGTGATACGAAGCCTCGACGGAAACTGTCTAAGTTTACAAACGCTTTGGAGCCAAGGAAATATCTTAATTAGCTTAATGTTCAGAAAAGAAAAACACCCTAGCGATAAGTGGAGATGAACCGAATGTTACAACTATCTTGTTTCCTGTTTTTCTGAAGAAAAAAAAAAACATACAACCGCAAAAGAGAGATGACAAACCTAAGATCACACGACATCTTATTTTGAAGTTTGGTTTGTTCAGGTGAAACGCTGCTGCTCATTAGGCCAGGTGAGACTTTTTAGCATGTTTTTGACCAAAATTTCCCTGTTAATATTTAGAAATTGCTCTTTGGCTTCGCCCAGTTAAGTTTGCATTTTTGTTTGTTTGTTTTTTTTTTACAGCAGTTTTACCTTAGAGAAATTCTTGTAACTAAAATTTTGTTTAGTTGTTGGCCTGCTTATAATTACAGTCGATGTAGCTTTAGTCTGAAAGTCTGTTATACAGTCAATGTTCTCTTAGTAATATCTTCATTTATATACAAAGTTTTAAGTGGTTAAAAGTAAAATTAAATGAGATTATTGTGAAAAGGAACACAAAACAATTAAACAGTAAAACAATGATAAAAGTGCAAAAAGAGACCCAGTTAGATGAACAACATGTTTAAAATTTTAGCAAAAGCTTTTGATAAACTTGAATTTGAAAGTAATCTAATTCTAAGAGTTTGGGTCTGATCCTTTTCCCTTTGTTCCCTTGTACAGATTTTATAGCATTTAGGCTTGTGTGAAGCACTTGCCAAAATATATGTACGTGGCTCATACATACTGTAAATGTTAACAGTGTCCAGGGATCTGCAGTTTGTGTGGGATTGTGTGCAATTCTGTTTTTCTGTTGGTGCTGGTGAAGATATTTCTTAACGTCTTGTATGTGACATTTAATTATGAGGAGAATAAAGGAAGATGAAGTTGGAGGCACAGAATGAGCAGGGTGGAAATGCTGAAGGTTTGGAGTGTGATGGTGAGACTGGGTCATCGGTGTGAAAAGTAGGGAACAAAACATGAAGGTGTGACTTGTTCAGATGTGGTGTAGTTGTTTTTGACCCTAACGCTCTTGAGCTGCATGTATCTCTGCTGATGTAGGATCAGATACACAACCTCCAACTACTCCTTGGTGACACCACAGGTTTCCTGCTGTCTCACACAGAAAAATACATCTGCTGGGTAGTGCTGCATTAAAAAAAATTTAAACCACTAACTCAGCACTGTGAGCTTTATTTCCAGAGATAGCTTTTAGTGCATGCATCCACTCAGTCTCTACCCATTCTCACTAAACTACACTCTACAGTATCGTTGTACATGCACTTCACATTTTGCAATCACTAACTCAGATCTAAAGATATGTGTTTGGGGTTGGTTTCTATTGCCTGCACAGAGAAAGCAAAGAAAGCATTCATGTGTTATGCTTCAGGGTCTTGATACTGAATTGGAATTTTTAACTCTGGCTGAAATGTAAGACTGTGGTTATTTCTTTATTAATTAACTCTGTTAATAGTTGGCACTGGTGTTTCTCTTTTCAGGCTTTCTGTCTCTTAGTATAATTTTTTTTTTTTTTTTTTATTGTGGTATCATTTAACATTTGTCTTAATGGGTACAAACTAATTCATTTTCTATTTTACAATGTTAAATCATAATAATTTAGGTTTCTGGGCCCCGAGTTGTATGGCGACTATTGACTGGCTCCCACTGCTATTGACGATAAAAAAAAAAAGAAGTTATCTCCACACTGCTTCCCTCTGGTGATACTTTCAAGGTTTCTGTGCAGCTGGTGTATGCGTTCATCTGTGTGTGGCTGCAGCAGTGGTTTGTGAATGAGTACCAGCGCCTTCAGGGCATCCTCATGAACAGTCTGCAGTCTCCCATCAGCCGTGCTTGGAGTTATATAACCAGTGTACAGTGGTTACTTCCAGCTGCAGGTTGAGGCTTCACTGCAAAAATAGGAAAAACAGACATTTGTTCCGAATTACCGATCACACTGAAGTGTTGGAAACTCTTAATGTTCTTAGTGAATAGTTTATTATTGTGTGTTTTTGTCTGCGGTGTAATATAAATGTGGTTCAGAGACAGAGGAAAGTGTTGCTAAATGTTGACCTTATGTGTACAGTAAATGATTGTTGTGGGAAGTTTTTTTGCAGGATTCACCCTTGCCTCATGCCATGTGATATGTTTGGCACCATGACCTGTAAAGGAAAGCAGTTTATTATTTCACACAAGTTTGATTGCTGATTATATTCCAGTTTCATGAAAAGATATTGGCCATTTGTGTAGAAATCCCTTTATAAAGACCAAAACTATTAAAAAAAAAAAAACACTGATGCACCGCACGGTTGAACTGACATGTTTCTGTGTAGTGTGCACCAAATGTATTTTACTCCAAGTGTGCGAGAGCTTTATCCACTTCTAGCAAAGCATTTGTGTTCAAAACGAGGAGAGATTTTGGAAGCCATAAATCCCAGTATTGTTAGTCAGGTAATCGTCAAGTTACTGGTTGATCAACAACAACCCCGTCTTACTGTAGTGTATGTATTATGTTTCAGTAGAAAACTTTTTTTAATTGTAAAAGTGAAGGGTGTGTGCAGTACAAACTTGCAGACATGTGGATGAAGTTGAGCAGCTTGTTAATCAGTAGCTGGAAAGGATGATAACATGTGTGAGAAAGCTTACCTTTGTGCTGGGAGGATCTTATTGAATTATGACAGGAAAACTACAAGATTCCCACTTTTTAACCCTCAGTGTTTAGTCTCCAAGTAACTCTAAAATGAGGAGTAGGAAAGAAAACAGTGGAAACATGGAGTAGGCTCTTTCCATCATTTTTCCTCCTCCTCTTTCACTCTTCTGCTTTATCTTTCTGTTTATATTGTGTGAGGCGAGTCAGAAATCCAGTCAGTAAAGACCCCAATCTACAATATATTTCAAACTGTATTTACTCTTGGCATCTCTCCATATCAGTCTCCTTATGTCACACATTTTAAAACAGCGCAAGGTGAACAGAGGCACCGTTCTTCTAGTTCTTCATATATATTCATTTTCATGTATGTGCCCATATGAATCTGGGCCAGCTTTAGCAGCTCTGTCTGCATTTTGATTTACTGATGGTCAACCACAAACATCAGTGGCTCCCTGTTTTACTGACTTTTGAGCCTGGTGGATTGTTCAAGACTTGAGCTCACAAGGGAGGCCTTCTCTGCCACTCCCTGAAACCCTGGCAGTAGTTAAGCCATGCTGCTCTGGGGCTTCAGTCACAAGGCTCACCAGGGTAGCAGTAATGCTGATGTGTGCTTGATTCCAAAGAGCTACTGAGTGGGAAGCAGTAAGACTATCAGCTCCAGGCTGTGTTTAATGTTTTTGAGTGATTAACATGAAGGAAGCTGGTGCTGAAAAAAGAGAGAATGCTGGAAACAAACCATGTTATGAATACTGAAAATCTGATGTCACTTTTATGAAGAACAGCAGTTGGAAACCCAGAATCACTGAAACAAACATGTCAAAACATCCATAAAAACTTCTCAAACCACTAATGCTGCATAATCCACTTCTCCATCATATGTTCCAAAGAATCCTTCCTCAGTTAAATAATGACTAAAACCTGTCTGGCGGAGCTACAGTACGTACTGACGTGGCAAATTTGAACAGTCGGCAGCTGGCAAGTGGATGCTGCAGATGTGATTTGAGAAGTTTTTATGTCAGTGAGCAGTTTTTGTGGTTTTAAGAAGCTTTACCCTGGCCTGGTAATGTGTTCAAAACCCACTTAGTGTGACTTACTCTTGTTACACAAACAGCAGACAGCTGGTGAGTGACGATGAGCCGATAAGAGTTTTACTTTTCAGCTGTTTATCTGAGAGACAGGATAAAGAGTTGTATACACATACTTTAGATTTCATGCAGAGGTTAGTTATGGCATTTAACAGTAGTCAGAAATGTAATAAATCAACAGTTAAAGTTCTTAAATAGTTTTAAGAATCTAGGTAAATCAGAGGTCAACAACAAAGCGGTGAATGTCATTAATTGCTGTCGGACAGTGTCAGTACAGAGGATGCAGGTCATTCTCCTTGTCAGAGATGGCAGGGTTCAGTCATCAAAGCTCTGGTAGGCATTGTTTCTACATTTCCTGTCTATTCCCTGTAGAGGAATCCCCACCTGCCCCAAGATGGTGGCCACATCCCACCGTGGTGTTCATCCAGAGGTGGATGATCATGTCCGGCACTGGTAGGGGTCAAAGCTGTCACCACAATGACATTTGTTTTTTTATCTATGATATTTAAATATCAAATAACATTTTATGCCTTTATATCCTTCATTTTAATGTGCCAATTTAGGGAGACTGTCCTTAAGGAGAGGACAATACTTTGCATTTAGTCAAGCAACTTGTGAATAGTGACTCTGTCTCTGAGAAGCAGAAAGTAAAGTTGGAATTAATGCTTCTACGGTCTGCACCTAAACATACATGGGAATGGCTCAGATACATTTGCAGGACTGTACTTGTTCACATTTCTTTTCATCTCCATCTTGAGCCACTGTGACCTAGAGCTGCCCCTAATTGCAGAGTTTTACCTTCATCGTGTTCTCTTTGAATTTGCGTGGTGTGGATATGTTAGATATGTTAATGAAAGGCGAGGTATATATACAGGTATATATGCATGTGTGGTCAGGCTCCTATAATCTGGTCAGCTCTGTGTTACTGTGGCGTATCTGGAGTTTAAAGGTTACTCTGTCTTGTCTGCGGCTTGCTACTTTAGAGGGCCAGTGCACAAAGTTTAACGTCTGGCAAAATGAGAAACGGTGGCATATTGGTGTACATTTTTCTGACACAATTGGATCTTTGTGCTAATACATAGATGTGCTAATAGAACTGTGTTAGAGGCTGTTTGCTCCAAATATCTCAAAAGAAATCTGTTCCCAGTGGAATTTAGGGGTTGCAAGTTTAAAAGACCTGGATGAAGCTTTTTTTTTTATGTCTTGGTTACCTGTAAGCATTTTAGCTGTGTTTCGGTAACTATTTCAGCATGTATGCCTGCTTTGTATTGAAATATAGTACATTTTCATTGGGTTAAATGTCTAGATGCCTAGAAGTCTAGAAGTGTTTATAAAAAATACAAGAACAAGCTGTTGCTTGGCCTTTTCTCTCTGTGTTTTCCCTGCTTTTCTCCCACTCCTTCTCTGGTTTATATCAAAGTCATAATAAATAAAACAAACTAGGAAGTGCACACAGTATCAAAGTAGAAAAAAATGAGTGCT